CGCAGCCTCTGTTGTTATTGCTTTACCGTTGTCAAATTTGAAATATTATACCAGCTTAGATCGGTCAGTGCTGTTCATTGGGAATGTATTTCCACGCAGTCGTTGTTGTAACATCTTAACTATCGTCACCTTTGAAATTTTAGAATTGTACCAGTTTATATCGCACATTACTATTTTTATTTGAAACATATCTATGCAGTCTCTGTTGTAAATAGCTATATAACCTACGTCATTTTACAAGCGTTTTTTGTGTTCGGTTTTAATTGTTTTAATTGTATAAATTTCAAGATTGTTATAGTTTATTCAGAATAGATTGATATGATTCATTTTACATCATAATCATACTGATGAAGGATATCTGTTATCCGAAATATTTATAGATAATTACATTTAATGTTTCCATTTTTTAATAGTGGTGTTGTTTTGTACACTTTTTATGCGTTTATATATATATATATTTCGACTCTTCAAAATTCCAGAGTGTATCCTAATTTGAGGTAAATTATACGGCCTTCCAAATACCGTTTTGATTCCTTACATCACTGAAGAGACATTAATTGTCAAAATCTGGATATGGTGTAAAAATTTTTGCAACTCATGTTTGTGGTATACCATCTTTTTCGGAAGTTTATTGTTTTCTGTTTGGTATCAAATTAATATTTTAGATCAATTTTGTTACATCTGGTGATCCGTTTATTTGGCAATCGTCAATGACAGTTAGCAGGGTTTAAGAACATCCGTTGTTCGACCTGCTAGTCAAATTCGTTTTGTTAAAATATACCTTTTCACTTTTTTGGTCTTTTGGAAAATGATGTTTGTGCTGTATTTAGATCCCTCTTCCACGAATTTTTTTTTGCAAACACACGTAAATAAATTGCGGTTTTTTTCCAATGCAATCATAGGTTTGAACGTTGTTTTCAATTTTGACTTGTATATATAAATATAAATATAAGAAAATAAATAAAAGATAATAACTGTTTCAATTCATCACTTTTACTAGCGAAGAACTAAAAGTATATTTAAAAAAGCAGCAATATCCGGAACACGTGATAGATTACGGAATTCAAAAGGCATTGATAAAAGGACCAATCATTACAGAATCACGGCGATCCGAACCAACCGAAGAATCATCAAACAATTTAGATAAAATTATCCTGTTTGTAACAACATATAATCCACGAGATTATGATATATTTAGTTTCATGCGACAAATTGAAAATAATTTACACAAAAGTGAAAAATGGACAAAGTTTTACAAAAAAAGAAGATTATCAACAGTAAAGGACAGTCAAAAAGTCTAAAACGATATCTGACATCTTCAAAATTCGACTTTAATGTTACTTTGCCTATTGTTAGAAAATGTACCGATAAACGATGTATGACATGTCCAAATTTAATAGAAGAAAGTTCGATTTATTTTAAAAATGGAAAGCATTTCACAGTTAAACAAAACATGTCTTGTGAAAGTTCAAACGTCATTTATTCTCTCATATGTTCAAATAGTGAGGAATTCTATATTGGAGAGACAAAAAATGAACTGCGTACTAGAATGACCTTTCATAGGCAGCAAACCAACCATGAATATTTAACAATCATCCGGTCTAACGACCATTTTCATCGTTGTTCTAATGGACGATTTAAGATATTTTCATTGTATGTGGTGAATCGTAAAAATGATTTTCTCCGGAAAAAGAAAGAAGACTTATTCATAAACATTCTCAACCCGGGATTAAATGATAAATAATATTTTATTTTTTACTTAAATAACATTTAAAAGACTTTACTTAATTTTTTAATTGACATTAGTAGTCTCCCTTGTATTTGTTAACGTCATACTATTGTTAACGTCAATCAATTGTTTTGTATAACACTTATGTATACAAGTCACATAACCTGAAGATCTGTAAAAGCAGTGAAAGCGCTAGTAAAAGTGATACATTGAAACCGTTAAGGATTCTACGTAACTTTTCTTTATATATATATATATAAAAAAACCGCAATTTTTATACGTGTGCATGCAAAACAAATATCTTGTTAGAGGGGTTTAAATACAGCACAAACAACATTTTCCAAAAGACTAAAAAAGTGAAAAAGTATATTTTAACAAAACGCATTTGACTAACAGGTCGAACAACAAATGTTCTTAAACCCTGATGACTGCCATTGGCGATTGCCAAATAAACGGATCACCGATGTAATGAATGGATCTTAATTATAAATTTAATACTAAACAGAAAACAATAAACTTGCGGAAAAGATGGTATACCGCAAACAAAAGGTGGAAAGGTTTTTGTAACCCATATCCGGATTTCGACAATTAATGTCTCTTCAGTGATGTTAGGAATCGAAACGGTATTTGGAAAGCCATAAAATGTACCTCAATTTAGGATAGACTCTTGAATTTTGAAAGAGTCAAAATAGGATGAACGCATCATATAAACCCGAAGGCAAATATAATACAAGCCCAAACGAAAAAATATAAACAAGTCTAAATTGAAAACAACGTTCAAGCCTATGATTGCGTTGGATAAAAACCGCATTTTTTTCCAAAAGACCAAAAAAGTGAAAAAGTATATTTTAACAAAACGCAGGTCGAAACCCTGCTGACTGCCAATGGCAATTGCCAAATAAACGGATCGCCGATGTAATATATATATATATATATATATTATTAGGTTGGTGCATAGTTGGTGCAAATTTGGTGGCAATTTATATCAGATAAACAATAGAAATTTAAGTCAAATATGTGGTGCATATTTGGTGCATATTTAGTGGCAATTTAGGTCAGATAAACAATAGAAATTTAGGTCAAATTTTGGAGCATAGATGATGCATTTTTGGTGGCAGTATGTATATAAGGTTCAGATTTTTGTTTTTCTAGCAGAGTTAAGAGATTTTGCTATATTGAGCAGAACTTGGCAGATCACTGATAGGTTCAAAATTACTATTATTTTTGATATTTTTGTCCGCACAGTATTGGACATTGTTGCTTGGTTTTTGTCTTCACAGTATTGGACATTGTTGCGTGGTTTTTGTCCGCACATTATTTGACACGGTTGCGTGATTTTTGTCCGCACAGTATTAAACACTGATGGAATTTTTTTTGTCCGCATACTATTAGACACTATGCTGGTTTTTTTTGGGCACAGTATTGGACACTGTTGCTTAATATTGTTACACAGAATGTAATGAAATTCGTTTGCGGTAACTTGTGAAAGTGATGTACCGAGAGTGCCGGTGTGCCTAACATTTTTCTATGTAAATCTTCGAATCATATATTTTGTACACTGTATATTATGTAGATCTTCGCCTAGAATGGAATTATAATAAACAATAGATAAGTCGATTTACTAGTATTTTTTTCATTTAACAAGACTAAGCATCACTGGATTATCTGTCGTCAAATTGTCCGTCAATTCAATGCACCCGGACCTGAAATTTTGTGAAACTCGACCGCCATGCTATTCATATAAAGAAATCAGATACAGATCCAGTATTTTGAAAAAGAGGAGGGGAGGGAGGACAAACTAGACAACGCAAGAAGAAGAACATGAAAAAAGTCTATGTATTAACCATGTATGAAGCTCCATAAGGGGTCAGGCCCCTCCCCCACTTAAATCCGCCCCTGGAAATGTCCCGTCCTGTTTACTGCAGCAGCTGAGTCATAACAATCTAATTAAGAATTGTTCTTACAATTTGTTTAACCTATCCATGCATTAAATAATGTGTATACAATATCTTGGTAGTAGAATAATTAACCAAAAGACTCATACTAAACAGATTAATTGTAACACATAGGTTGTGACACTGTTACATCGTTTTGTTGACGAAATTAACTACAAATTATCAGGTGTTACAGTACATCAGCTCCTCGTTTGTTATTTTATTTTCATCTGAGCATACAACTTATGCTTTACTGAACGTAGACACAAAAGACGAACAAGTGAATTGTAGGTCTCTGAAAAACACACGTGTTCTCGATAAAGTACGTAGTAGTCAATCATGCATTGCAACCCATTCAATGGATTGGTCAATTCTCTAAGTCAATAAATATTGCTTATTATGCAATCAAACAATTATATTAGCGAGAACGCTAGTATGCCAATGAATGATAGTGTACCCAACCTGATTAAATGTAATTATGTTTCGGAGTGATACATACTTTTTTAAAGCGGTCCTTAATCTTTCAGGAAAAAAAGGTGAAAAAAACTAATTAATATCAATTTAGAATTAGGGACAAAAAGAAATACGACACTGATATTAAAAAAAATATTGATCCTGTATGGTCCTATGAAACGAACCGATGACCAGCTATCATGATAATAAAGAATATTCCTAGTAAATAGATGATCTTAGGAGGGAAAAAACCTTATTTGTTTAGATACCTCTGATTTAAAACAACTTAAGGTAGTGCCGAACATCTTGACTTTGATAAGATATGAACTTTGACATGTTGACATAACTATAAGAATTTCAAGAAATTTGAACCACACAATTTACAGGAATTATTTCATTGGATATATACATGATATAGCAGTTTAACAAACACTATTTTTTATCATTGAGAAGCTTGATTTTTCTACTGTTAATGTTCTGCTATACTTCTCCTATTCAATAAATATACTCTAGGTACCCTTTCGATCTGTTGGACAGAAGATATTGTGCTATACTTCTCCTTTTTCAATATATGTACCCTAGGAACCCTTTTGATCTATAGGACAGAAGAAGTTCAGCTATGATAATTCTCCAATTTCAATAAATGTACCATATGCAGCCTTTGTATATCATGAATATGTTAGACAGAAAAAGTTCAGCGATAGTTTTATACAGGCAGCATTGTTGAAGGCCGTATGGTGACCCGTAGTTGTTAATTTCTATGTCATCTTGGGCAGTGTTGGATAGTTATCTAATTGGCAGTCACACCCCATTTTATGCATTTTTTTTGCGACAATAAAGCCACCAAGCCTGCATAATCTAGTACAGCATATATATTACTTCAGGATATCCTACAACTGACGATATTGAATCAAAACAGCCAAACGGACCTACTCAATCTAGTACATTAGATGTTCTTCCAAGTAGCGAACATGTATCAACAACAGAAGGACTACCAACAATAACAACAAAGACTACAGATGTTATCGGTATGTCTCACTTGAAATTTGTTACTACCACAATCATAGCTTAAATCAGTTCATATTAAGAATGGAACAACTTTACACCATTGTCAGATTAGAAAGTTGATTTTTAAAAAAGCAAAGATTTTGCTGTGACTATTTTTTGTTCCCACTTTCCAAAAAGCATTGTTTGCGAAGAACTTTACTTCTTGTTGAACAAAAACTGGATGGAAGATATTGTGCAATACCTCTCCTTTTTCAATATATGTACTATAGGGACCCTTTGGATCTATTATCCAGAAGAAGTTTAGCTATAGTAATTCTCCGATTTTAATATATTTACTCTAGGTACACTTTGGATCTGTTGGACAGAAGTTCAGCTATAATTCTCCTATTTCAATATATGTACCTTAGATGCCCTTTGGATCTGTTAGACAGAAGTTCAGCTATAATTTTCCTTTTTCAATATATGTACTCTAGGTACTCTTTGGATCTGTTAAACAAAAGAATTTCAGCTATAATTTTCTTATTACAATATATGTACCATAGGTGCCCTTTGGATCTGATGGACAAAAGAAGTTCAGCTATAGTTTTCTTATTACAATATATGTACCATAGGTGCCCTTTGGATCTGATGGACGGAAGAAGTTCCGCAATACTTCTCCTATTTCAATATAGTATTCAATGTTTTACACAGTAGTCACACTTTGTATAGACAGCATGGTTGAAGGCCGTACGGTGACCTATAAATGTTAACTTATAAATCATTTGGTATCTGATTGAGAGTTTTCTCATTGGCAGTCACATCATATTTGTTTTTATTTTTATAAGTATGCATTTTTCACGACAAGGCAACAACCACGCCTGCATAATCTAGTACAACATACATATAACTTCAGGATATCCTACAACTGACGATTTAGAAACAAAACAATCACAAAGACCTTCTCAACGTAGTACATCAGATGTTCTGCCAAGTAGCACACATGTATCAACAACAGAAGGACTACCAACAATAACAGAAAAGACTACAGATGCTATCGGTATGTATCACTTGAAATGTGTTAATACCACAATCATAGCTTACATAAGTTTATATTCAAAATGTGACATATTGAAAGTTGATTTTTATAAAAGCAAATATTCTGGTGTGATTATTTTTTCTTTTGCCCTTTTTCAAGAAGCATAATATCCTAAGAAATTCACCTTATTTTGTACAAAAACTCATGGTGAGTGAAAAGAACGATATTACACTGAATAAGGGGAGCAAAACGAGAGATAAAATATGTATGGCTACGGAAAACTTTAAGAGAAATGCATATGCTGATAAAAGTCACTTATGTTGCTTCAACTTCACAAACTATATACACATTAGAACATATTTGCTTCCAATTTCATTCCTAGAAGATACATTTCATAATATCACAATGTGTGTTGGGGTGTTTAAATGTACCTACAGACAGGGTTTTTAGTAATTTATTTGAAACTATACCATAAAAGCTAATCCATGACGTAAAAAGCCGAAATATAAATGTGTATTCTCTTTAGTGTATGCCTTCTAAGAAAAATAGAAATGTAGGAATACTTCTGTATAGTATATGTGTCGTGAAAAAAATGCCGACATTTTATCGCTTCAAGTAACAAACGAGTACAAATCTAAGCAAGATACCATGTCTAAATGTCTTTCAAAGCTATATTAAAACAAACGTTTGGTACAACAGCATCATGCTAAAACTAGCAACAAACAAAAAAGAGGCAAAATGTACATTACATATCAATGACATGTATTTATTTGTGTCGTTCGGTTACTGCTTGTTGACACACAGCCCACATCTCCTTTCATTTATTAATATCGATCGATTCGTGTTTAACGCCACTTTTATTACTATTTAGCCAGTTCGTAGCGGTCAGTTTGTATTGGTGGAGAAAGCCTGAGTGTCCGGAGAGAACAACCGACTTTGGGTTGTAAAACTGACAATCCTAAGCAATTTAGATTGGAGTCGAGTGCGCCTACTACGTGCGGGATTCAAACTCACAACCTCGGTGCTGAAAGGCAACTGACACAGTAACTCGACCAATTAGACCACTTGGCTACCGAGACAACTTATTCATATGTATTAATAAGACCTTCCACTTACAATTATTTGGAAATCCTGCATGAGAGACATCAGTATCAGCCGTATCTTTCTAGTCATAACTGGCATGCATCGTTGGTCCTGCTTTGTTTCATAAAAAAGAATGGCCAACGTAGATACAAGTATCTTGTCGTGGGGAGGGATAACTCATACTTTGTAAAATATCAGTCTGAATAAAAAAAAATCACTGAAACTGACATTATCAAGATGCTTGATTTCTTGATTGACAACATATTTGTTACGTTTGGAAGACGTGTTTTCCAACAAACTATCGGCATTCCCATGGGAACAAACTGTGTCCGATTTCTTGTCAACTTGTTCCTTTATTCATATGCGACTGACTTCATACAGAAATTTCTCAGGAAGAAAGAAAAAAAATTAGCCGTATCCTTTAATTTTACTTTCCGCTATATAGATGATGTTCTCCCACTAAATAATTCAAAATTTGGTGACTATGTTGAACGCATTTATTCCATCAATCTTGAAATAGAGGATACAGCAGATACAGTTAAGTCTGCCTCATATAACTTTCCAGTTCTATGAAGCAACATTCCAGCAGGGCCTGCATACGGAGTATATATCGCCCAGTTGATACGATATTCCAGGGCTTGTATTTCCTATCATGATTTCCTTGATGGATTACTACTCACAATAAAGCTATTAAACCAAGAATTCCAAGTAGTGAAGCTGAAATCATTCCTTCGTAAGTTTTACGGACGCCATTACGAGTTGGTTGACCGTTATGGAATATCGGTTTCACAGATGATAGCAGATATGTTCCTAATGTCGTAACTACAATCTCGTACCTTTTCCCGAATGTGACCTACCGAATTAGACTTATTACCGGGTTTGCATTAACATGAGCAACACGACGGGTGCCACATGTGGAGCAAGATCTGCTTCACTTTTCGGAGCACATGAGATCACCCCCTGTTTTTGGTGGGGTTCGTGTTGCTCAGTCTTTAGTTTTCTATGTTGTGTTTTGTGTACTACTGTTTGTCTGTCGGTCTTTTTCTTTTATAGCCATAGCGGTGTCAGTTTATTTTCGACTTATGAGTTTAAATGTCCCTCTGTTATGTTTCGCCTCTCTTCTTCATGAGCTTCGGTATCTTTTCTCTGAAAATTTGTCAAAAAGACGTACACAGTTTAATACATGCTCCTTTTCTTTCAGAAATATCTACTTTGAAAGTTAATAATGGCTTTACTAATGGTTACTGGGGTAGAACAGAATATTGTGCACAAGGCCACTTTGCAATAGGATACTCGATGAAGGTTAAATTATTATATGTATATGCTGTTTTTCTTGCATAATTTAACCTTATTGTTTTAACAAATGGATCTTTTAATTCACTGCAGTTGTTCAAATTTATACATATTTGCATAAAAGCAAACCTACACACTTCTTGTATATTAAGATATAAAACTAAAACATTATATATCATATGTATGCGATAAGGTACCAGAAAAAACAAGTTCAACAAGAGCAGTAGTAATATTTCATTCCCTCTTCGTCAATGTATTTTATTTTATCATAATGGCTGAAGGAATAACCAAATGCTATTTTGAATCAGTGAGGTCTCACCAAATTTATGTTAGGTGCTTTGTTTTACTCACGAAACCTTTAAGATTAATTACTAATGGTTAGGTACCACCCTGGATGAAGACAAAACATTTAAAGGGACAACGATATTATAGTTTTGATAAATTTTACATAGAGTTCTTTTCTTGTTAAGCTATGATAATATACACTAATGATAGAGCTTTTTTACAGATTGACGAAAGGTACGCACGCTTGACGAATCATACGTAAGACTCGTCTTAAGGATCCTTTATTTTGACATATTTATGTAATCTTAATCGAAGCGTCATGGAAACTTCAATGGCGTTTCACCTAAATGTTTGACTATAATAATCCAAAAATAAACGGGATAACCAGCTATTATTACAAAATTATCCGCAATAACATACAAAATGAGAAAAACGAAAAACTAAAGAAAAGATACATAAAAAAATACAGGGATTCGAACATAAACCGACAAGTCTCTACATTTAAATTGAATCTTAAACTCATTGATCTTAACCATGTTAACCTGGCGGCTACCAACTTATACTATACGATTGCCTATTATGTATATATAAAAGTACAAGCCTTGTGTGTCCGTTGTACCGATGAGTATCCTATGTTCATTTATATATAAAAAAGAGATCTAAATTGCAACCCATTGGTAGCCGAGAGGTTTCATGGATGTATTGATGTCAGTCACATATAACAGATTTGTTCGATTCCCAGTGATGGCATATGAAAATTACAAAAAATTAAGGCAAGTTTTTAAATTAATTTCATTAGTGAACAGAAATCAGTTAATTAGCTAATTCAATTTTAATGAAATTAGGCACACAAAGGAAACAATTGAATATAATTTGGTGAGCTCATTTCCGCGACAGATTGGGGAAGCGTTGATTATAGAAAAAGATTACAAGGCAAATGAATAGGCTCACGACAATGGTTTAAAATGTGCTAAGTTTAATGTTGTCTCGTTGACATTTATCCGATATCTAACTACTAGTAGTTAAATCAAAGCTGTTTGTGAGGGTGTGTGTGTGTGTTAATTGTTCCCCTTCCCCATTGAATTGACATTGGATTTCACCTGTTCGTGTTTACATCTTCTGTAAATGCTAAATGCACAACTGATTGGTCTACAATTATTGGTTTATTAAAACAAATTAACGACGTGTAAAAGAATGATCCCAAATCAGTTGCGTATCAAATATTTACTAAAGATATTACTAGTCGAAAAACAGACCATGAAAATCATCTGTGGAATACTAAAGCAACGACCATTTACTTTCAAGGGGGTGGAGGGTATAGTATTTGTTCCGCTTCACATTTGTTTCCTGCGATCGCAAGAGTCACAATACTTTTCTGCACATTTAACCTTAACATTAATAGAGAAAAAACTTCATCGCAAAAACTTTTTTTTTCCCAGATTTATTTCACATTACTTTTTCAAAACATTCATGACATTGCAGCATCCTTGTCTTGCAACTCTCGGTGATCCACGTTGACAATTTGATGGTAGCATACTCATTAAAAATAAAAATAATTGTGAATCTTGTCGTTAAATTTAGAGTAGCATTCTCAATAATTTCATTAAAATGTTAATGGTGAAAAGCATGCTTAAACAATTCCCGCGCAAATGAGTGTAATCGTGGTTAACATAATTAACGTATCGGACGTAAGTGTATTTTAAACTATATTTCTTTATTTTCATATATTGAAAGCGTGTTTTATTTGAGATATTCTTAAATTTTTAAAGATGCATTTGATTCAGAAAAGAATGATGTTTTACCGGATAAAACAAAGACTAAAAGTGTTATCGTGGAAATGTGATACATGCTCCTTTTACGTTCGTTCGTACCTTTCGTCAATATGTAAGAGAGCTCTTTTAAGAGTTTTTTTTTTGTTTTTTTTTTGACATAGTATACCGTAAGGTTTAAGAACATTCATAATTAACATTCAATGAAAAATGTACTTTTTTCCAGAATAGCCTCAACATTTCACCAAATAAAATATTTTTTTGAGAAATGTCATTGCGCATGTTCAAATTAGGAGCATGGTATCCGAAAAGAGGTGATCTTAAAAGAATATATTTTTTTGTGAACATGCCGTTATATTGTATCATAGTTATTAGCATTTGTTAGATATCATAGCTTTTTACAGAACATTATTTGACTAGCAATAAATATCCATTTAAATATAGTGGCTAATTTTAGTGAAAATCTGTTCATAGGATTGTTTTTTTGACAATTGTTAATTTGACTGCTATTTCCCGAACGTTGCGAGGGAAAACGGCTGTTCGAACAATATGTTTCAGCACGTCAAGGTGTATACATTGATAACCAAAGATTATTTTGTCTGACACAGCGAATCGTACGAAATTGATAAAATGAAATAAAATGTTCTGCATTTATTGGGATCATTACTTATAACCCTGCATATATCTAGAAGGTATGACTTTCTTTGAAAACATTTAATACAGATATCATATATGAGCATAAAGTTAAGTCTTAAGTAAGTAGTGATGCCATATATCAAGAACCTATGAATTTTAGCTGCTAATAAAAAATATGACGAATATTAACCATATGAGCATGCGTTTCTAAGGAAATAGATTTATATAAAAATAATGAGTCAACCGAAAGCGGATCATAATGACTACTCCAGTCACATTTACAGAATCTAACTTTCGTATTTATTGCGAATTTGTTTTTCGTCCTGATTATGCCGGAAATATTGACCACTGGATTCTGCATCATTGAGATCACAGTTATTTTTATGTCGCTATCGATTGACTAAGTTGCAGTTTCGTATCATATACCACTGCTCAGAAAACTGGTTTTCACAGGTACATGTTTGTACTGATTTATTAAACGTATTTCAACAATACTGGTGAACTGCAATTCCTATAGGGCGTTATTCCACCTGAAATAATATAACAGTTGTGAAATTCCTTTCACATCGATACCTGTGCATTTTAATTGAAAAAAAGATATCAAGATATCACAAAATACTGGACTCAAAAAGGGGAAGTCAAAAAAAACTGACCAAAATCTAACGCTATCAATCAACGGAACAAGAGAAACATCTGCCATATTCCTGACTTGGTACAAGCATTTTCCGAAGAAAAAAATGTTGGGTTAAATTTGATCAACATAAGCTTGATGAAATTATAAGATTATTCTCCCGATGCACATATGTTACTCTGCTTGGTTTTATTGCGCCCTGTTTTTATTGAGAATGGATGCCAAAGTAAATGCACATTCAGGACGTGAGCATGAAAATGTGATGTGAATACAATCCTTGCTTTGTTCTAGACCACGTATGATTTTTATGTGTCGGTTTACAACCTAAGGTAATAAAGGGCATGCAGACATTTACCCTAATCGTACACACTGTTCTTATTCTTTTGACCAGTCTTTGCTCTTTTTACCTCATGCCGCGCGCTTACTAGAGAAGCAATTTTCAAGTCTTTTGTTTGACCTGATCGGGCTTGAAGCGATTAAGTACATTGATATCAAGTTTTGAATCTGTGGAGACAAATATTTGGTTTGAGTACCACTGATGAAAAATTGATTGAATACATTTTCCGGCATGCATATTATTTACAAATTCTCTCTATAACTCCATATAAGGTAATTTTGTTTTTATACTTGCAGATTGAAGCTTCTCAAGGTAGTTTTCGTGATGATACTGCGTTAAACGCGATTCGTCTACAATGCGGGAAACCTCATTGGACCGGGAGTAGGGACTATGGCAGTACTGTTATCGGAGTAGAAGGTCCATGGGGAGGATGGACAAGCTCACAGTTATGTCCTAATGGTGAAGTTATGGTGTCGTTTTCCCTTCAGGTTGAACAAAAGGTAATAGTTATCAAAATGTAAGCCTCACTTATCTATTGACGCTACCGATATCTTTTTAATAACCTTGCCCGGGTTTTGCTTTACATTTGGTTCTGTTTGGTAAAATCAGCTTGTCAACGTTGTTTTTATTTTAGGTTTTGGACTTTCAAAGAGTTTGGCATCGAGCATCACTGAAGAGACATTAAATGTAGAAATGCGTATCTGGTGCAATACAATTGGTACCAATAATGTTATTTTACCGCTGGGTCGACACCACTGCATTTGGACTGTTAGTCCCCGATGGTATCACCAGCCCAGAAGCCAGTTATTTGGTTCTTCCATGAAAATACGGATATTGTTCGATTCAATTTGCTGTTATACAATTTCGAATCTTTTAAATTAAGGATTGTGTGACCTCATCCATAGCTCTGATTCCTTGTCATTCTTCAGCTTTATCGTTGGTTCTTTTTTGGTTTAATTAGCTCTTCCGTGTGTGTACTAGGTTGAAATCAATAAAAAGACATTAATTTTCGAAAAGCTCATCTCACGGTGTATATTCAGAATGCTTGTTTTCCGATGAAATTGAAGGTAACGCTTACTTTCCGATTCCTGAAACGCTTACTTTCCGATTTTGTACAAGAAAATTACAGAGTGGGTAAAAAGGTAGGTTGCTACAATATTAAAAAAAATAATAAAATATCAATTTTCCTGAATGAAACTGAAGTTGACGGAAAAAACCCCCCAAATAAACAGGTATCAAGTTTCATAATGTATTGTTTCTTACAATGATAAATGAATGTGATGTCGTTTACAACAGAACTGCGTTGTCTTATAAAATATATTAAAATTTTAAAACTCTCATCCACATTTTACTAAACTTTCTCAACGCAGTTTTATTTTAATAGGGTGGATATTTCAATTTGCATGTTTTGACACAAAGTATAAATTTTAAATCAAAACAATGTTATTGTGTTTGTTTACCATTTGTCTAAAAACATCGATGTGTAACGCTTACTTTACAATACTTCGTCATTTTTAATATGATGTGCCAAAATGAAGTTATTTTATATTAATAGTAATATCATAACTATTTCTAAATGAAATTGTAGTATTATGGCCTAATTGAAAAAACATCAAAATCTAAGAGCCAATTTTAACCCTTCGTGAACTTACTCCTTTAGCATCGCGTGTTGGTTGATTAACGTCTAGTGACAAATATTTCGTGCATGTTCAGGACGAAATTATGCATCGAAGAACGTCGCTTACCGAAATATGTCCAAAAGACAAAACATAGCTTTTCTTTTATCATAATTGTGGTTGCGGTTAACATTTATTATATGTTATTTGGTATAGATTCCCAATATTTGCCAAAATCTTTCAAAATTTCTGTATTATATTCCGTGGTTTATACTTGGGTAATCTCTTTATAGAAAATACGCAAGTTCACGTATTGGACTGTGATACTGTGATTGAACCATAACAGGTTGTATTTATCAGAGCTTTGGTCAGATAACAATATTATTTGATGTATTCATCCACACATCTTTTGCGGGTGTTGTTATGTTTATTTTTTATTCATGTACTCTTTTATGGATATAGTTCTTTCTTTTCCCGTTTATTGTTGGTTTTTATCTTTCTTTCAAAACCAGTTATCAAACTGTTATACTTTAAACACGGAAGTAGCAGAAATTACTACCCTTTCGGAACACATGACTTGTTTTTGTTTGTGGTTATTTTCGGGATTTCGTTTTATTTGGTTTTTTGTGTTCCATATATTTTGTTTTTGTTGTGGTTTTTATTTTTATACCAAGAGAGATTATTATACATAACGTATGATAAAAACAAATATCCTAAATGCAATGGGTGCCGAGTTGAACATTTTAATCTTTACTTTATATTTTATTTGAGTGAAATATCCCATTGCCGATCAAGCCAGGCATTAGTTCGACATGTTACCTCCGCTGTGTCGTAGGATGTTAATAAATAAATATCGAGAAAAAGAAAAAAAAATATAGTCTGCATGTGATCCAATGGTTAACAAATCGTTCCATCTGAAAGAAGTAGTTTCCTGAAAATCGGAAAGCAATCGTTTCCAAGAATGACGCTGAAGGTAACCAATCTGAAAGACACTGTCTCCTATGATTTTTTTCATAGGGCATTTATGGTTAGATTAAACGAATATCGAGAAACGGAAGAGTATTTATGACAGGAAAGTCAATAGAGGATTTAAACCCGAGTTAATTAAAAAATTTGTAAACAGTTGCATACGAATAAACATGCATTATTGTGTTCAATCGTTTACAGTGTTGCATTTGTGGGACCGTTTACGACCTGATCATAATTTATTCATGATGACAAGCATTACATCTTTATCAAGACAAATATCTCTAGTGTTCCATGAGATACAAGAGAGGACACCATTGACCATCCGATTTAAGTATCGCCCATCCTCATTTCGTTTCTGCTGCTTCTTCGTCAACAAATATCTAAAACCAAGCTTTACGCGTATCGGAAAGCAAGCGTTACCGTCGATTGAATCGGAAAGCAAGCGTTCCGAATATACACCGTGCATCTGGTGCAATGAAATTGTTATCGGTAATGTTATTACACACAGGGCAAACTTGAGTACTACATCACTAGTTGTCCATGGTTTTGCTTCCGCCTTCCATTATTCATTCATCAGGATTGTTCAAATTTTGAAAGTCAGGCATGTAAAAATATTTGGAAATGTTTGGAGCAATATGACCAAGAAGGACCTAACAAAAAAGCAAAATTTATCTTTGGCCAACTTTGACTGAGGGATTTGGATTTCATGATAATTTCTCAATTTCGTAACGAGCAGTTTAAACATATGCTATTGATTATAACAGTACCGGAGCACTGAATACTTAGCTGATGATACCTTTGTGGCTAACGTTTCCTCAAACGGTATCGACTCATTGTTAGAGTTAGATAAAAATAACAATATATATAAACTTTACGTGCGTCCGAACGCTTTTATTGTTTTACCTTCATCGGGAACATTCAAACCCCAAAAAGTGATAACCAGTGGTGAATATATCTGTTTAAGGTAATTATTTACCCTGATTAATGCAAGTTTGTTAGCGTATTTCATTCATTTAGTTTTGAATATATATATATATAGTGAATGTGTTGTGTCCAATTGGAATTTTACTGTTCAATTTCTCTTCTTCAATTTTCCTTAGATAGTCTCGCTACGGTCTGTCTTTCATGGGATCATTCCTGATACCCGTCGGTGTGCTTAACGACAAAAAATACTAATATCTACAAAAAAAAAACAAACAACGTTAGAACCTTTATGACCAGAAAAGATTAAAATAGAATAGCCGAATTCATCTTAGGCTGATTTCGCCTTAGGGAGATGGAACATCAGTTTCCTATTAATTTCTTAATTAATCAACTTGCAATTGTATAAAATATGTTAGAAATCATATCATTTCCGAAGTACTGACTATTGAACTGATGATGTCTTCGGTGAATAAAAATTCTATTTTAGTGTATTTACCGATGTACTGTAAATTCAGAAATTATTGCGTGCATTTATTATTGCGATTTTTGAAAAATGGACAAAAATGCGAGATTAATTATTGCGATGTCAGGAAAATCTGTATACAGATATATGTATCAGATATAAGAATGTGGGTTCTTATTATTGCGATACTCACTCAGTCGCATTATTCGCATTAATAAAAATCTCGCAATAGTTTCTGAATTTACAGTATTATCAAATTTATGAAAATTATATATGTTACCTTTTTTATAAACCTATTGATAACAGTTGCCGTTAATTTTTTTATAGATCATTGCAGATAAAACTGCTGCAAACTATGTAAAATTTAAGTGCAGAGACATCGGCAGTGATACTCTAGGTACCGTATTAGGAGGTAGTGGAAAGTGGGGTTCATATGGTGCATGGAGTGGGTATTGTACAGTAGGGTCAGCCATTTGTGGTCTACAAGTAAAGATGGAGCCCGACCGGGGAGGAATTATAGACGACACTTCTCTCAACGATGTTATTTTTTGTTGTTGCAAGAACCAACTTTAACTTAATAATCGCAAGAAGTCTTTCCATTCCGTATATCGTCAGGTTATCGGAATTCCAATGGGGACTAACTGTGCACCACTTATTGCGGACCTTTTTTTGTATTGCTATGAATTACAACTTATGACAAAAATCAGCAAAGACCGATCGAAACAACATCTGATACACAAATTTAATAATACTTTTAGATATTTGGATGATATTTTGGCTCTCAATAATGACGACTTCAGTATGTATACTAAAGAAATTTATCCTGTTGAACTTACTTTAAATAAAGCTAATACTAACAATGACCACTGCCCTTTCCTCGATCTTGATATCTATATCATTAACGGAAAGCTTAATACTAAAATATATGATAAAAGAGATGATTTTTCATTTCATATCGTTAATTATCCATTTTTAGATGGTGACGTTCCCTTGTCACCATCTTACGGTGTTTATATATCTCAACTTGTACGATTCGCTCGTGTATGTAACAATGTTTTAGATTTTAACGAGAGAAATTTATGTATTACTGAAAAATTATTACACCAGGGTTTTCGATATCACAAACTAGTCAAAACATTTACTAAATTTTATCATCGGTATAAGGACATCATTCGTAAATATAGCTCAACATGCAGACTTCTTATACGTTCAGGTATTTCACATCCAATTTTTTATGGAAATATTCTTTATAAAGCACAAAAATGTCAGTATTCACCTCTGAAGCTAACAAAACCTTTAAATAGACTTATTAAGAAGGGATATAGTTACGATACTGTTGTCAGGTCATTAAAGATGGCATATTTTGGCGTTAATATTGATTCACTTATAGGGTCTTTGCATCGGCACTAAACACATTTATGTAAAAACCAGTTGTTGGCATGACACGGGTTATGTTCTTCTCATATATGTTATGATGGTATGATACTAAACCCCTAACGGGAAGGATTGTGCCTGATATTCATATGATGAAGACATAATCTTTCAATCAGTTTAATTGAAGTCTGGAGCTGGCATGTCAGTTAACTGCTAGTAGTCTGTTGTTATTTATGTATTATTGTCATTTTGTTTATTTTCTTTGGTTATATCTTCTGACATCAGACTCGGACTTCTCTTGAACTGAATTTTAATGTGCGTATTGTTATGCGTTTACTTTTCTACATTGGCTAGAGGTATAGGAGGAGGGTTGAGATCTCATAAACATGTTTAACCCCGCCGCATTTTTGCGCCTGTCCCAAGTCAGGAGCCTCTAGCCTTTGTTAGTCTTGTATTATTTTTAATTTTAGTTTCTTGTGTACAATTTGGAGTTTAGTATGGCGTTCATTATCACTGAACTAGTATATATATTTGTTTAGGGGCCAGCTGAAGGACGCCTCCGGGTGCGGGAATTTCTTGCTGCATTGAAGACCTGTTGGTGACCTTCTGCTGTTGTCTGTTCTATGGTCGGGTTGTTGTCTCTTTGACACATTCCCCATTTCCATTCTCAATTTTATTTCGTGTTTAACAATGTTTCATTTAATTCTGCAACAGTATAACGGGTGTTTGACAGACATTTACATTGTAATTTAAATTAGATTTATGTAATGCGGTCAATTGCCTCAACTCATCTTTCAACATGTATTTTTTCCAGATCATAACCATCATTTACTGGTCAAACACTATTAATTGTAAGCTCATTTTATATCGTATTAATAAATTATCTACAATGCCATCATGATTTTATGTTAACCTATCTACATCGTCAACTTATAATTATCATAGCTTGGAATCAAGTTAAAAAACAAATATAAGTTAAAAATATCTATACTACTAAAGGAAGAGACCGATTTCATTGAGCCGCAACTCCTCTGAAACCATACAAAGTCGGAAACATTTGTGATATGACGTATAAATGTAGTATTTTGTACTTCCTAAATTTGTCTTTGAAACAATCTTTTTTCCACAGAAAACGCCAATTTTTGAGAAAATATCCAAATTTGGAGACCGTTATCGATCCGTGTCTTATACGCTTTCGCGCATGCTCAGTCGACGTACTGCCCGACAACTCGGCCCACGGCCAACTCGCACCACTCAAACACTCTCACTAATCATTACAACTTGCATCACTTTATCAAACTCGCACCACTCAAAAAAAAAAAAAATATTACAAATACGAAGAAATGTGTTTAATTATAAGATTGTTTTCTTCTTCTCTTAGTAAATTCCTCCTTTCTCGGAGCACCCGTGTCACACAGAGACAGAACAGTCAGTGTTTTTCATTCGGCATTTAAGCCGGGTGTGCCGACCACCTTCTTTTGAAAGCCGACCACCTTTCTATTTTAGGAGGTGGTCGGCTTTTTTTTCAAAATCCGGATTTTTTTCGGTTCCGCACCGTAAAAATTTGAATACTAATCGCGCCTCGCTGATTTGTTTTCATTGACAAAAATGGCGGATCGTCAAATTTCAATGTTTTCTATTATTATTCGGGGAAAGAGAAAGGCAGATGACGATGGTGATAAGGAAAACTTTAGGCAAAATAAGTCAACTAAAACGGATAGTTGTATTGAAATTGTTAAAATTGAAAAAAAAGTATCAAAACAACGGAAAAGGTACGCGAGCGATCGCGAAGGTAAACTGTTTGGGAACAATCCCCTAATGAGGGATATTCCTTAAATGAGTGACAAGAGGTCGTCTTATTGTTGAAGAAAAGAAAAAAGAAAAACTAAAAATTTTTAACTTAAAAGGGGGAAAACTCGTTATAAAATCGAATCAAATAGATTTTGATAGTATAACTATAACCAACAAACATGAGACATTGTACAGTTATGTAGTGTTTGGAACAACTTTTCTATAAGAGGGTACGTTTTTTTTAATGATAAAGTAGATATAAGTCCAGGATTATTACAAAATTCTTGGACATGTTTTGACCATATAATACCAAATAGATGTATAGTTCTTTGGAAAAAGTTTTTGTAAATGAAATAAATATGTGCTCATTTGTATCTCTTGAAAAGTATCCTTCATAAAAGGGATAGTCATTGCATTGAGAGCTTGTTCCCAAGCTGAGAAATATGAACAGGACATTAAATGGCTAATCGTCACAGAAGAAGGATGTTACTGTTCTGTGTACCAAAAATACAGCACTAAAGCAAGGAATAGGTCAGAATCTGGCAGGAGGAGGGAGTCCTGCAAAAGCCATCTGCTGTTCAATTCCATTAAATGTGAATACAATACTAACCATTCTTATTGTGACAACACCCACAGTAAAAAAACAACCGGTTGGAAAAGTATAAAAAAAATAATACGACCGGTTGCAAGTGATTTTTTCAAAAGACCCACCTTACCTTAGTGAAAAATGGAGAACACTGGAACTCACACCACTCGAAAAAAAAAATACTACAAACTCGCACCACTGAAGAAATGTTTTAAATCATCAGAGAGTTCTAGATTGTCTTCTTCTTCTCTGAGTTATTTCCTCCGTTCTTGGAGCACCTGTATCACACAAAGACAAAACTTGATTCGCAGCTTTCGAAAAAAAAAAAACACTACAAACTACCACCACTGAGAAATGTTTTAATCATCAGTGTTCTAGGTTGTCTTCTTCTTCTCTGAGTTATTTCCTCCGTTCTAGGAGCACCTGTGTAACACCGAGGCAGAAGCTACTAATTGGACATTCAAACTTCTATGGAAGAAGAACTGACAAACTAATGAAAACTATCAACGTAATGCATCAGTGCATAAAAACAGTTTGAGGACCACAAACTCAAGTTGTGTATCACCATAAACATTTCAAGTAGTCTTCAAGCCGCGCTCGCGCGGTTTATTTTCTAGTATTGAAAATATAAATAAGGAGATGTGGTATGAGTGCCAATGAGACAACTCTCCATCCAAGTCACAATATTTAAAAAGTAAACAATTATAGGTCAAAGTACGGCCTTCAACACGGAGCCTTAGCTCACACCGAACAGCAAGCTATAACGGGCCCCAGAATGACTTATATAAAACAATTAAAACAGGAAAACCAACGGTCTAATCTATATAAAAAACGAGAAACGAGAAACACTTCTGAACCACATCAACAAACGACAACCACTGAACAACAGGCTCCTGACTTAGGACAGGTGCATACAAATGCAGCGGGTTTAAACATTTAAACAGGCGCCAACCTTCACCCTAACCTGAGATAGTAGTGTAACATTACAACATGAAAAGACACACTATAAAATATCAATTTAAATGGCTTAACTCGATCAAAAAGATATATAAACAAAAGTTTACATACACTGAACGAATAAGTGTGATCTATGACACAATATAAATACAATATTAACAAAAAAAGATGTAGCAACAGTGTCAAAAAGACAACTCTAACCTGGGACAAAATAGCGGTAAAAAATAACGTACAAAAGTCTTTTCTTTTCATTTTTTTTTTAAAACGCACCTTCCTATAGACCCAGAGTGCATTCAAAAGCTTTAAAAAGCACATCAAATAGGGTCACAATCACAACGTTCTTATCTAGGACGTGACCTTGACCTATTATCTAATGACCTTAAACTAGGTCATTGGCCCCCAAAGTCATTGCAAAAGACAAATGCCGATATCATGTACCAATATCAAGAAATATGTATCAACAATCTAAATACTTAATAGGAATTAACTCCTATAAGATGACGTCATGTCACTTCTGGACAATGCAACAAATATGGCCCTTAGCATGCTCAATCTTTTACACCAAATCCTTTTCTCTTGCTATATACTTTTCTGAATATAACTGTTTACAAGCAAAGGTCAAACTCTAGGTCTAAAGCTTGACCACAGTTTGTATATCATGAATCAATGACCTCATATCAAAAGGTTACTTACTATTTATGAGATTTAGCGACATTCCTCTTACATGAAATATTTAAGAGGAATAACTCCTTGAAATGTTAACTGATTATTTCGACTTAATGTAACAAAGATGAGTCACAAGTAACAACAACAAAAAAAAAATTGTTGAAATTTCTTACGGTTTATGAGATGTGCTGCTAACAAGGTTCTGAATGTTTTTTTTAAACGAGATAAGAGAAATTGTACGAATAAGCAGGGTGACTTGCAAGATATTAACATATTTCATCTATAAATTATAATTTTTTAAGAGCTGCCAATCGAAAATTGATAGAACGTTTTACTTGTTTTATATTAACCAACAGTTTATGTAGCTCTTTTACATGTATCTGCGCAGTGTGACCTTAACATTGTGCCTATATTGTGTCCACATTTATTTGTTTCAGTGGCTATTTTTCAGAACATTTTGTAAGGGATGATGGATATTTGAAAAAGTTA